TAGATATGTATGGGTGCCCAGGACAGGAAGAGAGGGCTTTGTGATTCAGGTATGGCCTGAGCCAATGGCTCCGTGTTCGCCCTGCATCAGATTGGTGTTGGGAAGTGTTGGGTCCCCTATAAGTGTGACACCACCTCCTGGATGGTGGGCATCAGATGTGGAATGAAGGACTATGTCTTGCCTACAGTGTCCTGTTCTAGTAGCCATGAACGGACAAGGATAAGGAGGGGATTGCCCAACTTGTCAACACTCTCATTTCTGAGGAAACTCTTGCAGGTTTCCCTTTGGCAGTGGGTATAGAGCAGAGAGTCACGGGAGAGAGCTTAAAAAGCTTGTTAGAGGGCTGGGGACATAGCTCAGTTGGCAGAGTGCTTGCCTTGCATGCAGTATCACAAAAACAACAAAACAAACAAACGCTTGTTAGAGCTGGGCACTGTGTCACCTGTGATTGGGGAGGCTGAGGCAGGAGGATCCAGTGTTCAAAGCTAGCCTTGGCCACTTATTGAGGCCCTGAGCAACTTCGCTAGAGCCTGTTTCAAAGTAAAAAAATAAAAAAGGGCTGAGGACATGGCTCAGTGGTTAAATGCTCCTGTGTTCAATTCTTAGTCCCCCCCGCCCCAAAATAAACAAACAAACAAACAAACAAACAAACAAACCTCATTGGGTTTGCAATCATGAAATCAAGGGTCCAGGTCTGACCCTGCTACTTATTAGCTGGGCAATTTACTTAGCTTCCCTGAGCCTTGTTTCCTTATTTATATAGGCAAATAATCCCTACATTGTAGGGTTGTTCTGGGGATTACATAATGTATAGCACATGAACTCTTCAGCATTGTGCTAATGAACAGTATTTGTTTTTATTAATAATAGAAATAACAATGGACCCCATTTGTGTGCCTAGAGGTCGCTCCTCCTCAGGCCATCAAAGTCAGCCTCTACAGTTACAGTGGCTCCCAACTGTTTGTTGTGCTTCGGCTCCCTGAAGGTCTATACCACCAGCCTAGCAGTCCTGCTAGCCTGAGGCTCAGGGAAGTGATTCTCAATCTGGATCCCTTCTTTCTAGTTCAGGTTGGTTTCCTAAAAGTCCCCAGGTAATCTGGACACTCCCTCCTGTTCTCACCAGGGTACCTATTCGTCACTCCCAACTCCACTGACATGCATTCCTCTGGGTGGTGAGTCTTTAGCACAGTGTGCTCATCTGTGTCTTCCAGAGGACTGCCTCCCACCTTGGAATCATAATTTCCCTTGTGGGGCACTGCTGAGTGTATTTATCTTCCCAGGCAATGCTGGCATACAAGCCTGGTTAAGAATTATTGTCTTTGTAGAGATCTCTGCTCAGCACTGGCCCATTCAGTTGGCACCGAATGAAATCTTCTAGCAAAAAAATAAAGTGTCCACATAGTTTTTTCAAAGCTCAAAGATACTGACTCTGTGACTAAGGAGGCAGAACTCTTGGTTGTAGGGAAAGGGAAGGATAATTCTGAAAAGCAGCTCCGTATATAGCTTTGGACATGATATATACTAGGTACTTAACACAAGGCAGCTCTTGTTCTTATTAACAATTCTTGTGTACTGGCCTTGGGGCCCCTGGCTCTTTGAAAGACCCATTTCCATATTAGAAGAAAAGACTCCAAACCCAGGAATTAATACATCAGTTGGATGCTCAGAAAGCAGTTGGAAAATGTGACAAGAGGCATAATATATGCTAGCATCAGAAATTTCAAGAAAGGAAACACTGTAGACTATTTTTTTCCATTTCCCCCCTCGTTTCTGAAATGAGACAGGAAGAAAGTCATATTTCAGAAGTTGGTGTGGAGATGTGAAGAGATGTTGTTCTGGAAGCAACATAGTGAACCCCACATGGTCATGGGCTTTAATGTTTGTTCCTCTTAACATTCATACAAGAGGGGTTAAGCTCCTGGTGTTGTGCAAAATTGAGTAGAATCATATTTCCAAATGAGCCTGCTTTTGTGTCCCTTTGTCCAAGAGACCCAGAGCAGAAAGTTGAATAGAAAATGGGAAATGATGGGTTCCAAAAAGGGCAGAAATTCTGCCTTCTTGGATTTCTTGAGTCTCTAGAAAGAGGGTTTAGAAAGGCTACCTTAGTTTAGAACTAAGGTAAAGATTGGGAGGTAGATAGTGAAGTCAAATGTGACATGCACAGGATACTTTGAAAAGGATAGTAGACTTGGAGCATTTACATCAAGAGCAACAGTGTCAATAACTGTATCAGTAGTGGGGGCTGTAGACATTAGCTAAGGTTGAAGGTGATGCTCAAGGTCATTTAACTAGTTCCTCAACCCCTAGTCTGATCTGAGTCTGTACCTTGCTGCTCAGTTTGATCAGACTATGGAAATCCAGCTTAGATGACTACATAACGTATTTTGGTTTAGTGGTACCATAAATAAGAACTTTTCCATAGGCTGAATGTCTCTCCTGCTGACATTTCCTATCCTCCTGGGCTTTATCCTTAAGCTACCCGCTACTCATCTGAGTAGTACAGACAGCACAGTGCAAGCTGTTGTTCTAGTGACTGTTAAAAAAACCTATCACAAGACATCAAGCACACTTGGAAAAACTTGCTGATCACTCCAACTCCCTGCTCTTCTTATCAGAGAAAATAGAAAACATTCTCTACTTTGGCCAGCATCCTCCTGTTTCTGAAAGATGGTGTGTTTGCATCTGCATAGGAGTGCATGCGGGGGGGTTAGCTTTTTAAAAATATTTACTTTTAATTGTACAAATTTGTGGAATACAGTGTGATAATTTGATACATGTATACAGTGCATAATGATCAGCTGGAGGTAGTTGACATTTCCATCTCCTGAAACATTAAAATTTTTATTAAAATAATTGTACTATTTATGGGATACAGTGTGATATTTCAATACATGTATACAACATGCACTGATGAAATCATGGTAATTAACATTTCCATCTCTTTATCGTTACTTTGTGTTTGGAGTCTTGGAGCTCCTTTGTGTCTCAACAAGGACATAATGGTTCCCAGCAGCTCAAAGCTGGGCAGAGTGACAGGCAGGATCAGGCCTCTCTTGGGTCTGCACAAGTATAGGCTGTGTGGTCCAAAGTGGAATCACAGTCATGGGCTGGAGTGTGTGCCAGATCTTCCAAATGACTTTTATCAGACAAATCTTCCCCTCCGCCAGAGGTAGAAACACAGAAGTACCTGCTTTAGAAAGATTTGTGCGACATGACAAAATGCAATTTAAAATCTGGATTCTCCTTTCCTGAGCTCAGACCTAAACTTATCCCAAGACTGAGGACCACAGAAACTGGAGAAAGTCTCCCGGTGCCAGCCAGTTGCTTCCCAGACGTGACGACAAGCGGCCAGCAGGTGTCAGTGCGCCCTCGTTCTGTCGCGGCGCGCCTCCGCCTGGAGGACCCCTCCCCTTAGCGGTCTAGAAGGGCGCGGTCTGGACCCCAGGCAGCGCTGTCCCGCTGCTAGCTTTGCGGCTGGTAGGACACTTAGCCGCCTCTTCCCCAAACGGAGCTCTGAACTCTGGCCTCGCGGGCTCCCGCCTGGGTGCTGCCCATTCCGCTTCAGGGGTTCCATTGGAACCCTCGCCTTCCTCTCCTGCCAGGAGCGCCTGCGGACTAGGGCGGCCTGGTCCGGGTCGGGCTGATCTGGATGAGACTCTTACCCGAGAATGCTTCTCCCGATTCTGGCCGGGGTTCCTTTCCACCCTCTCTTCCCAAGACCCAGCTCGATGGAGACACTCCGGGTGCCTATTGCTGTTGGCTGGATCGTACGGGAGCTGCACAGCCAACTCCCAGTAGGGGCCGCTCCCCACTCCCCAGACTCTCTCTTAAAGCCCCTCGTTCAAGGTACCCGCCTCTCCGAAGGGCCCGTCCAGCTTGGGGGGCAGCGCTCCCTGGGGTCCCGCACTGGGCGCCGACTCTAGATCAACAGAGGGGAGGCGCGCGGGGCGGAGGAGGGTCGGCTTCCCACGTGGGGGCTGACGCCGGCTGCTCGGCAACGCCGGCTTGATCCTGGGGCTATAAAACGAGTCCACCGTAGCGCCGCGGAACAGCAGCGGCTCCGGCTCCGGTGCAGACGCCCAGCAGCCGGCGGGCCGCCTCCCCGCCACCCCAGCGCCTTCTTTCCCCAGTCCTGCGCTCTTGCTGCAACTCACGCTGTCCTCGGCCCCCAGCCCGTCCTGCTGAGCTTCGCGCCCACCGAGCCGACGCCTAGGAGACACCCTGCCTCAGCCTTGGCTCTTGGAGGGCGGATCGCTCACCTGGCGCGGCACGCCTGAGGACGGGGGCGCCTTCATGCGGCCTCCACACCACTCACGCCGCTGCCGTCCCCGAGCTCCGCGTGCTGCGCCCCAGCCCAAGCAGGGCGCGCAACTTTGGAAGTCCCGCGGCGCTCGGAGAAGCGGCAGAGTCCGCGCCCTGGCCGGTGTTAGGGCCGAGCCCGCACCGCCGCGTCTGCGGGAAGCTCCAGAGTCGGTAATCGCTTCGGGAATATAGACAGACATAGGACCCTGAGCTCGCATCTCAGCACCTCTTGGCTGCCTCCTGGGGTGGGGGCGGGCCCCGCACACGGTAAGACCTCTCGCTTTCGCTCAGGCTCAAGAAGCAAGATATATATATATTTATATAGTTATATGTATAATTTCCTGTCATCCTTCCAAGTCTTCAGGCCACCGATGAATTTTATTCTCCCTTCCTGAAGAATAACTCTCTAACCATCAGCTCGCCCTACTCTCTCCTGCTTAGAAATAAAACTTGGCTGTGCTTAGGAGCTTGGAGAGAGAAGGCGCCCACCCCGAGCCGCTAAAGCACCGGCGGGCGCTGTTCGCGGGACCCGGGCCCATGGGCCACTAGCTGTCCCCCAGCTTGGGCCCGGCTTCCTTGGGGCCCCCTCCCTATGTGAGACGCGGCGGGGTGAGTGGGTCGCCGGAGGAAGAGGAGGACCCACGGGCGCCGGCCGGAAGGCAGCTGGCACCAGGTCCAGGCGAGAGGGCGCCGCGTTCATGTTCCGCCAGGAGCAGCCGCTGGCCGAGGGCAGCTTTGCGCCCATGGGCTCCCTGCAGCCGGACGCCGGCAACACAAGCTGGAATGGGACCGAGGCGCCAGGGGGCGGCGCCCAGGCCATCCCTTACTCCCTGCAGGTGACGCTGACGTTGGTGTGCCTGGCTGGCCTGCTCATGCTGCTCACGGTGTTCGGCAACGTGCTGGTCATCATCGCGGTGTTCACCAGCCGTGCTCTCAAGGCGCCCCAAAACCTCTTCCTGGTGTCTCTGGCCTCGGCGGACATCCTGGTGGCCACGCTGGTCATTCCTTTCTCGCTGGCCAACGAGGTCATGGGCTACTGGTATTTTGGCAAGGCATGGTGCGAGATCTACCTGGCGCTCGACGTGCTCTTCTGCACGTCGTCCATTGTGCACCTGTGCGCCATCAGCCTGGACCGCTACTGGTCCATCACGCAGGCCATCGAGTACAACCTGAAGCGCACGCCACGCCGCATCAAGGCCATCATCGTTACTGTGTGGGTCATCTCGGCTGTCATATCCTTCCCGCCGCTTATCTCCATCGAGAAGAAGGGCGGCGGTGACGGGCAGCAGCCGGCCAAGCAGCGCTGCAAGATCAACGACCAGAAGTGGTACGTCATCTCGTCGTGCATAGGCTCCTTCTTCGCGCCCTGCCTCATCATGATCCTGGTCTACATACGCATCTACCAGATCGCCAAGCGCCGCACCCGCGTGCCGCCCAGCCGCCGAGGTCCGGACGTCGCTGCCGCGCAGCCCGGGAGCGCCGAACGCAGGCCCAACGGCCTGGGCACCGAGCGCTGCGCGGGCCCCGCGGGCGCAGAGGCCGAGCCGCTGCCCACCCAGCTCAATGGCGCCCCGGGGGAGCCCGCACCGGCCGGGACGCGCGAGGCCGACGCGCTGGACCTGGAGGAAAGCTCCTCCTCGGAACACGCTGAGCGACCCCCGGGGCCCCGCAGACCCGAGCGCGGCCCCCGGGCCAAAGTCAAGGCTCGGGCGAGCCAGGTGAAACCCGGGGACAGTCTGCCCCGGCGCGGGCCAGGGGCAACCGGGCCTGGGGCTTCGGTGGTGGGGCCCCGGGAGGAGCGCGGCGGGGGCGTCAAAGCGTCGCGCTGGCGCGGGCGGCAGAACCGCGAAAAGCGCTTCACGTTCGTGCTGGCGGTGGTCATCGGCGTGTTCGTGGTGTGCTGGTTCCCCTTCTTCTTCACCTACACGCTCACGGCCGTCGGCTGCTCCGTGCCACGCACGCTCTTCAAGTTCTTCTTCTGGTTTGGCTACTGCAACAGCTCGCTGAACCCGGTAATCTACACAATCTTCAACCACGACTTCCGCCGCGCGTTCAAGAAGATCCTCTGCCGCGGGGGTAGGAAGCGGATCGTGTGAGCACGCTGCCCACACCCGGCTCACAGACTGGCGCCAATTGCAGGCCCTGGGCATCCAGGGGAGCATCTTCACATCAGCCCTAGCACTTTGAATCCCAGGCCCCGCCTGCTCCGTGTTTCCTGGCCTGGAGGGTGCTCTGCGGCCTCCTGCGGACATTTGTTCCACAAGGGAAAAGTTCAGCTGGCTGGGAAGGCCACATACACCCTCAATATTTGTTATGGCCTCTCCTTACCTGGAGAGATTTTTTTTTTTTTTTCCTGGTGGGACGCTCCTAATCAGTATTGTTTCCTAAAGGTTTATTTGCCCTCCCAAGTTCTCCCAGCTCTTCAGAGCAAGCACAGGACTCCAGGGGGCAAGGCTCCCAAAGGATTAATGAATGGGGGTTTCCCAGCACTGGCCAACTGCTCCTCTCAACCCCTAATTGTCTATTTTTAGAAAAACACTCAGGGCAGCCCTGCCCGCCCACCTCACCCCCACTGTAAATACACACTATTTTTTGATAGTATACCCTGGGGTCCCTCCCCAGGGTCATGTGGCCTTGGCTGTGATGTTGAAATCCTGCTTGTGGAGATGCCCTCCAGGCAGACTCAGCAAAAGGCCGAGCCGCTTCACCATGCAAGCCGTCTTCTAGTGTTGTTATATCCCTCTATGTCCGGTTCACCAGCAACTGGTGACTGTCTTTTGGACGTGGATCTGCTTTGAGATTTCCTGACAGGGAAAAGATTTTTGTCCATTTTTTTTTCCTGTGCCTATCAGCATAATTGCCTTTTCCTATGTAAATATTACAAGGGTGGACCTAGACAGAAATAAGTGAACCTCTCCGCCTTGCATTAGTCCTGTATAAAGCCATTGTCCTCTGAGGCACACTTGGCCCCAGAAACTCACTTTAAAACTGACTCTTTCTGGTGCCCCATCCCTCCCCTGGGGGCCACTACTTGAAGAAGAATATGTATGTTTCTATCTTGTATGTATGTGCCCATCTCCCAGAAATCGCTGACTTAGGGGAAATCTTTTGGCTGCTGTTTTTAGTCACAAAGGAGTGGAAATTATGTGGAAGAAGCAAACCTGATACAATTTGCCCAAGGTAAACAGTTTGAAAAGACAAATGGGCCTTCCAAACTGTACAGATCCTGCCCCAAGAGCTCTTAGGTATCAAAGTGTTGTCCTGTTTCCTGCTTTTCTGGCTGAGATCATGTCGCTGATGAACTGCCAAAGACAGGGGAGGAGGTGGAGATTTCGTGTTTACATCCCAGTTTCTACATGTTTTAGACGGAGAAAATTTAAGGCCTGCGCTCTTATTTCACTAAAGAAAAACTAATGTCAGCACATGTTGCTAATGACAGTGGATTTTTTTTTAAATAAAATGGTTTACAGATCAAATGTGAAATAAACATGAATTAAGTGGTCCTCCTGTCTGTTATCTGAGTTTTGGAAAGCTTTAAGACTTTGGGAACACCCAATTTCATATACGTTATAAAAGATGTTTAAATGTTTGAGCAATAACAAAACTATCATTGACTAAGTATTCTTATGTGCTGGACACTGTGGGGAGCCTATTATAGACACTCCTTTATTTAATCTTGCCCAGTACCCTATGAGGTCAGTTCTATTATTATCTTCATTTTACAGGTGAAGAAACTGTATCTCAGAGGGCAAATGGTTTGTTCAAGGTCAACAACACATGATGGAAATACGTGGTAGCCAGCTTTATTGGGGTGCCTATGCTCTTTACCCCAGAGTCTTTCCAGAGCCAATGCTGACTTCTCAGCATGCCCCTAGCATGATCTCTTCACAGTATGCTCTGCACTTGTGTGGGATATATTCCAGTGTGTAGATATGGTGTGTGCATACCCCAAAGTATATACATACCTCAAAGTGTATATCTAGCCTAAAGTTTGCTATGTATATGCAAAAGTGTGAAATATACTCTGAAATGTGTCATCATGCCTTAAGGTGTGGTAATGGACAACACGTAGTATATTCCCCATAGCAAGGTATGAACAAGTGGAATCATATTAGTTGATGGCTCAAATTCTCTTTGGCCAAAGGCACACGTCTTTCTGGTTGCCTTTTGGTAGCATCATGGTCTGTTCTGTTCCTCACACTGTGGTTGTGGCACTTTGAAGCTGGGAGGGCCTTAGAGATCCAGGAATCCAGCCCCTTGTCTGATAAATAAGGAAGCAGGCCCTAGAGGAAGTAGCTTGTTCGGGATCCTTATAGCCCTGGGTGACAGGGTGTTGGCTCAGGCTGCTTTGCTTAAGTCCAGCCACCTATAACATGCAAGCACCCCAGTTCTGGATGTTCTCAGAAGCAGGTGCCATATACTTCTGGGAAGTTCATGAGGCATCTCCTCATCTTTCAATTCTTTGGTGGAGTTGAGGTGTGTGTGGGTGGAGACCCCTGAGAGGAGATCTGGACACTCAGGAGCCTGGGAGAGGGAAGACAAGAGGGTTTTTAGAGGCAGGAAGGAGTTCCTATCAGGACTTGGGTCCTCTGAGCCTGCAGACAGGAGGGCAGGCAGGCACTCAGCTCCAGTGACCCTTGTTGAGGGGCTTCACAAACCAGCCTTCCAGCCTGTGGCGCCAAGGCTGGCTCCCTTGTCTGGTGCTGTGGCCTGCTGCCCACCCCTAGCCAGGCTCTGCAATCCCTCTCCACTCCAGGACACCCATTGCCCCAAAGGCAAACAGTGCTAGACAATAGGCCAGTCTGGCAGGCCTCCAGGACCCAGGCTGTGTGTTCCAGCCACAGGGCAGATACAAACACGGCTTGCTCCTGACTCTCTTCTGCCCTGTCTGGTAGGGAGGTGTTGGCTTTCCTTTACCCACTGGGTCTGCTGCCTGGGAAAAGGGAAAGTATGGGCAAACATGCCACATTAAAGGGGCCTCTGGTGCTGTGGCTCCCCTGGGGCTCCAGTGTAGCAACAGAAAAACCTTAGAGACTGATAGAAGCTGGGACAGTGGGGAGCGAGGGCTGGACTGCTGGGCTTCTGGGTTCATGGTAGGAAGGAATCGCTGTTCATGCTGAAAGCCCTGAGCAGCAGCCTGTGGAGTGTGGGATGGGGAGGGGAACTGAGGAAGAGAAGTGACTCCCATAGGGATCTTTGCCAAAGGAGCAGGAGATGAGACTGGAACCCCACAACTTTCTGACCATGCTACCTGGTTTCCGTTATCCGGACCAGGAAGGTCTATTTGTGGCTGATCTCCTCTTTATATAAACTTTGGTTGGGGTATCAAAGCTATTGGCCCTTGGATCTGCCTTGTCAGGTTCGCTCCTGCAGGTGCATCTGGTGGGGGAAGGCCGTACCCTGGTTGGGACTGGCACAGCACAACCCCCTCCCTGCAAGGTTTTGTTCAGCTGCTTCTGTGCTAGAGCGCTGGAGGGGAGAATGATGAAACGTGGCTTAGGCTTCGCCCTGTCTATAATCGAATCAGAGTTTGAGAGCCAGAAGCTGCCTCAGCCATCCTCAGTTCCCACATTGCACTGATGAGGGATGCAAGGCCCGGAGGAAGTCTGGTTATGCATCATTCCAGGGTTCCTCGAGCACTTTCTCCCCCATGATGCTCCATCCGATGCCATATATCCCCAGTGCATACTGTTTGGTTGTTGGATGGGGTGAGTTACTTACTAATAAGCCCCGAGCCCCCGCCCCTACCTTCCCTGTGACAGCACCTTGCTAGGCACTCTCTGGAGGAGTCCTCTTCCAGTGCTGCAGGCACTGCGCACAGCCCACCACCAGTCTCTGCAGGTGCTGGCAGAGTTACAGCCCTCCCTGTCCTCTAGAAGCTTTAGAGGTGCATAAGGAGACAGGATGTGCCTGTGTGATGCATTAGATGCACAGAACAGAGACAGTGTGACAGAAGGAGTATATGCATGTTCCACTCAGGGCAACAGGCCCTGATCTGTTCCAGGAGTGTGCAGTGGGGAGAGGTGCTGTGACTGGGAGCCCAGAGCATAGGAGCTGGGTGCTGGGCTGAGGGGGTGGGTCAGGCAGGGCAGGCAGCTCTGTGCCCTGTGGCACCATGGCCCAGGTCAGACCTCAGCTTTCATTTCTCTAATCTGATCCTTGGGGGTGGTAGGGCAAGCTCCTGTGCCTAGGGATATCTGTCTGGAAGACTTCCTTCCTGACTCAAGTGGCATATCAGAAGCTGGGTCCCCAGAGCCAGGGCCCAATGTCAGGCTTGCCTTTGGGCCCCTCCTTGGGCCCTGCTACGCCCCAAATAGGCCCGAGAGCCTGGGATACAGAAAATAGCACCTTGCTCAGCAGAGGATGTGCCTTCCAGGGGAGCCAGGCCATCTCTGAGGGGAGTCACACACATGAGGTTTGTTTTGGAAATAAGCATTTATCTCTTTGATTACCAGAAATCCTTGGGTTTAGAATTGAATTCAAAAAGGGGAATGGGGCCTGTTGGAAAGAACCTAGGCCACAGCATTAGTAAGCCTGAGTTCTAGCCCCAGATTTGTCACACTAGCTGTGTGACTTTCAGCCAATTCATCTCTGAGCTCCATTTCTTCATTTATGAAATGAAAGTGGTTGGTTGTCATTTAGAAGTATGGTCTACAGAGTTAATTTAACTACAAAAGTATCCATAGTCTTTCTAAAGGTATATGTGTGAATAAGTATGTAGGTATGGACGTATTTGCCTACCAGTCTATCACCTATCTCCTGGCCTTTAACAGATGTCTTCTCTTCAGGGCTTCTCAAAGACCTTAATACCTGTGTCGTTTGTGATTCTCCAAGAGAGGATGACATGGTAGTCTGTTTCCCAGTTTGTTTGCCCAGGGCTGTGGAATCTCATATTTTACAAAGCACCTCAGTGAATTCTACTTGCTGGACACTTTTTGGGAGATCCTAGGTTAAGGGATCTTACAGAGGTTTTCATCGATCTATTTTCAGATTATGCCAACTATCAAATCTGCTATCTCCTGTCTCTGCCATAGGTGAAGCACGGGCAGGGGTCAGATCATGTGTCCTCCTTTATGACAGCTGGCTCTAAGGCTGGGGGTTGACTGGAGGGTGCAGTGTGTATTTCAGATGTGTGCTAAAACTTCTTCTAGGTTCATGTATATGTAAATATGTATGAATGCATGCACGCATGTATATGGGAATGCATGCATGTATGTGTACATGTGTGCAATCATGCATATGTATATACACGTTTGTGTGCATACACAGGT